TTACTTTTGAATGAAAATTTAATTATTACAAAGATGTAATAATTAATACATTAAAAGACACATATATCATTTATAATTACTAAGAATAATAAGTAAAATTCATATGAATAAAATAATTTTTTTTTTTTGGAATTGTTATTCTGCAAAATTAAAAATGTGTGTTTTGCTTGAAACTAAAAGGAATTTAATGGTTTTACCATGTTTGCATTATTTTTTTTTGAAAAGAATTCCATTACTTAGATAATTGGTATGCTATTAAATATTATTTATATTTATTTAATTTCCTCGGGAGTTTGAAGGAACTTGATTAATTTGCTCTTAAGAAATACTTTTTATTTACATTTTTCTCAAACTTACAAATAAAACTTAGTTGGAGTAAGGTTATTAATATAATTATACATGAAAATTAGGTGCTGATACAAATTTATTTCGCTTACATTTTGTTGCGCTAATCAAGTTATCGTAAACTTAAATCATTTGGATTGGCTGATTTTACTAAACAATTATTGTCTCTCTTGGGAATATGTATATAAATAGCGCGCTTATAGAAGTCTCGCTCTCTTGGAGTTACCTATCAAACATCAACGGACGCGAGCAACTGTTCTACTACTGTAGAATCACTATAGTGACAGTAGTACTACTGTGATCTACAATATCTTTTTTGTGTTTACCGCATATTTATATATAAAATATATTAATTATAAGAAATTGAACTCGTTTTACAATACGACTCTTACGTATAAAAACACATTCATCATTTTCATATTTATTATTAAGGGTTTACTAAACTGCCCTCTTTTTTTACCGTAAATATTTCTACACCCATCTTTTTGCAAACTAAGTATTTTTTTAAGTTTTGTTGGTTGTGTAGGGGAGACCGGGGCTAGTTGGCCGCAGGGGTAAGTTGACGAATTGCGTTTATCTTTAAAGCCTTTCATCAGAAAGTGATAAAAATTACACAGAATCTTCCTAATTGACTGTTTTATCATTCAATGTAGTATTGTCAGGATTCGCGCATGCGCATGGGAGATATTAAGATTTAAGTGTTTTTTGGACAAAAACGTAACTTTTGAAACATCGCTTCCTTTTTACTTTACAAAGAAAATAGTTAGTCAAATGGAAAAAAAATTATTGTAAAAGTTCTAGCCACAATTGGTTTACTATATTCAGTTTGACTTTTTTAAAAAGTTGCCGTTTTTCAGGATCTATAGACTGTTTATTGAAAAAAAAGCCTTCGGGGTAAGTTGACAAAATTTTTACGGGGTAAGTTGGCTCATAGCATTTACTATGGAGAAAAATATTTATTTTTATAAAAATAATTTTTTTAATTTTTTTAACTTTTAACAATATTGAAAAAACTTATTCTTACAAAAAAATTATAAAAATTTTTTTTTTAGGTTTTTTGTAACAGGTAAAAAGAGGGCTGCTGTTTTGGCTGTTATACGTACTAATATTTAGCACAAGCTAAAAATAATATCAAATTATTAGCTTAAATTGTTGCCAAAATTAATAGGTAAAAAATTTCTATTAATTTTGCACTTAATAGTACATTAATAATCACGTTTATAGTTTGCGTCAACTTACCCCGTGGTGGGGTAAGTTGGCGCAATTTTTTTTTTTTTTTTGAGGGCCCCGTAAGGCCCCAAGAATTTTTTTTTGTAAATCCATGAAACTTTTATAAGTTACCCAAGTTCATACGCTTTGAGACTACACTTTAATATTTTCAAAAAAGTGTGCTATTAGGGCTACAGAGCTCATAGAGTAAAAACCGAGCCAACTAGCCCCGGTCTCCCCTACTACTCCATGTAATATTAGCATAGTTAATGAAACAATGAGTTAAAGAAAAGTATATTAACTTTAGACAAACTGTATTTACATAAGGGCGAACTCGGTACATCAGACCAATACTAACTTTTGATTTTAAATATTTAATATAGGAAAGCCAAGATAAATTATTGTCAACAAGTATTTCTAAAAACTTTATATTTTCTTGCTTTTTTATTTGAATGTTAGAGTAAGGTTGCAAATATTGCACTGGCGCCTAAATTGTACTTTTGCTGTATCACGCTATTTTTACAACCCAACAAATTTCTTTTGACTAAAATTTATTTTTGCTATGTTGAACTAATAAATCAATTGTTATTTTTTGAGATGAAACTAGATTCTTGCAACAGTTACCTCGAGTTGATATGATGCCAAAGTTTTCTTATTTTTGGGATTCAATGTTTAGAGTATTACTTTAAACATGTTAAATATATACAATTCAAAATAACTTTCTTGAAATTAAAATACAGTAGCATTTGTTGTCTAACTTCTTTACAAACTCAAAATGAGTCTAGTTACGTGATTTGTACCTCACTCAAGGCTTAAAATTGTACCATAGCTGCTATTTTGAATTTTAAATATTTGTAACTTTAGTCAAGAATAAAATTTTTCTGTTTTGTATTATTAAAATAATGTGTAGAAATATCTATCATTTTCCCACCTAAATTCTAGCTACCCCATTACTAAGTTACACATTTAATATAAAAGTTATACCTTATTGATAATACTTGTTTTCAGACTATTCCAGGAAAGATTTACAGTTTCACATTTTATTAAATTCAAAACTTTTTTGCATTGCTTCGCACAGAAAAAGATCTTTACAAAAATCATTCAAAATATACTGTAAATTAATATATTATTTGTAAAACCAAGATTGGATTATAATGGTACGATTTAGGATCTTGTTTCCTTAATTGTACCGGTAGCATGTTTTTTAAAATTTAATTCCGCATCAAACATCTACGTTTAAATTTTAACTTTTTTTAGAACATTTTATCCCCAAATAATAAAATACAATAATGTCTCATTGTTTCTACTTTTTTTTTTTGACTTTTTTTTTTTTGGGTACAATATTGGCAACCTTACCCTATTTAAAAATAGGTCTGGTAGTTTAAGGAGAAGATTTTATTCTTGGTTTTTATCGAATAGGGTATACTTTGTTTTTTCAAAGTTTAATGAGAGTTTATTCTCTATAAACCAGTCATTTATCTTATTTAATTCAAAATTCATGTTGTTTGATACTATTGTTAGAAAGAAATAGGTTTGTATCATTTGCAAACATAATTGAGTTTAACTTTATAATAAATAATGCAATGATGCATTATTTAAGTCATTTACGTAAATTAAGAATAAAAGAGAACCAAGTATTAATCTTTGCGGTACTCCACACGGGGTTTTAAGTATTCTGTATTCTTTATTTAGAGCATTTTGTGAGGTAACTCTTAATCCAATAGTAGACCTTATGAGTTACTGCAAAATGCTTCAAGATCATTATTTTTATAATTGGAAATACTTGTGGTAGTTTTAGTACATCAGGAAATACCCTTTGATCTAAAGAAAGTTTTAATATATAAAACAATGGTTTACTAATACTTTTTTTATTTGGTTACGTATTTTTAAACTTAAAATTTTAGGCTGATCTTCCAATATAGCTGTAACATTTTTACGTTAATATTTATATATATATATATGATCACTAATATCAATCTTAAATGATCTGAAATGATCACTAATATCAATCTTAAATATACCTCATATGACGTTTGTAAGTAATGTTTAATAAAAATATTATTGATGGCAGTGGCAAAAGTTCTATTTACCCGAGTCGGTTTATTAATTACAGTCAAAACACTGTATTTAAATAAAATGTCAAAAAAAGGTTTTGTTTTAGGCTAAGCTAGGAGGCTGCTGATGAATGTCTAGTTCAAGTGTTAACATTTTTTTTATGTCTTTGTTCTGTTTATTTTTCGTTTTAAAATAGCATGGCATTGGTTTTGGATATGATAATATTGCAGCAGCAATTTTTTTCTTCTCTTTAAGTGTAACGTCATCATCCAGCAAAGCTTAAGGAATCAAAGTTGAATCTAGATACCATGTATGTTTGAATAAAGAATTTAACACAGCATTTACGGCATCTGGTTCTGCACATACTGTTTTATATTGATGCATTTGATGAATGGCAGTAACATCCATGTAAGGAGCTTTGATTGTATCATTTGATTGCAGATACCACTTTGCATAAAAGCAAGCTATAAATTCTGTTATTATTTTAATATGTTCTTTACTTTTTAGAAGAAAATCAATCTGATTTGAAAGAATTTGCATTTTTAAATAGTATATAGATTTCCCTAAAAATCTTGCATGGTGAATAGCTCCAGTCTTTTTAATTTTAATGTAAGAAGCAGAGAGAAAGCTGACCACTAGCTCTGTTTGCTCTTTTCTATCTTCCCTTGCGATATCATTTCTTAATAAGTAAAACCTACAATAGTCAAGAGATTCTATTGCAGCTTTTTCAACAACAGTTCCTTTAATTTCATTCCAAGAAATTTTAACTAGAAAAGATAGTTTATACTCGAAATTAGGCTGCTCAAAAATGTTTTTGAATTGTTTAAACAGAAGATTTTCAGGCGCCCTAGTTTCTTCATTTGTTACAGCTTCACAGAAGCGTGTGATTCTCAACTCAGAGACATGATGTCTGCAAGCTAAGAGAATTAGATACTTCCCTAGTAGCAAACAATATTGGCGTAATATTGGCACGATATTGGGTATCTTGGCTAATCTTGGCCAAGATATCCGATATTGTGCCAATAATGTCAAGCAATATTACGCCAATATTGTCTTACCAATATTGGCAAACAATATTGCGCCAATATGATCTATGATCGTTTTACTGGCCAATATTGGCGAAATATTGTTTGCCAATATTGGCTTTATATTAAATTTTACATATTGGTACGCATGCGTCACATTAAGGGATATTCATAATGTCCTTTAGGTTTGTTAAATGTGTTGTTAAATGTAAATAATAGTTTAGTTTTGTTAATAAGTAATAATAGTAAATAAATTAGTAATAAATAATAAATAGCAAATAAAAGTAAATAAAATAATAGTTTAGTTTTGTTAAATGTGTTGTTAAATGTAAATAATAGCATCTTTTTACATAAATTCTCATGTTATTAATTTTTTTACAAAAACAAATAAGAGTTCAAAATAAAAATTTTAATTTATGAAAAGAGAAGAAGTAGGAAAAGTATTTTTAATTCAACATTTGCAGAGTATATTAGGAGAAGAAGTGTTGACAATTTATTTTGAAATAGATAGTATTACGAAAAGAAGTAATAAGAGTAATAAAATTCTTTTATTCAACATTACGAATTGAATTATGAGAAGAAGTGGTTGTAATTAATTTAAAACATATTGCATCACGAGAAGAATATGAAAAATATTGCTATACTTAAGTATCAAGATTAAAATAGTAAGTTTACTCTTAAATGAAAATACTTTGAGAAGATTTCATCTATAAAATATAAGACTTATAATAAAATATAAAACTTATAATAAGTTTTATAGTCTATTTATTTTATTAAAAATATTCGTTTAAGAAATAAATACGTCATAATTATTGTTTCTAACTGTTATAAGATTTTAATTTACGAAAAAGGTACCCCTGCTTGACACATAATAACATCAATAATATATATATATATATATTATAAATATATATATATATATATATATATATATATATATATATATAATATATATATATATATATATATATATATATATATATATATATATATATATATTTATATATATATATATATATAATATATATATATATATATATATATGTATATATATATATATATATATATATATATATATATATATATATATATATATATATATATATATATATATATATATATATATATATATATATATATAAACACACACACACACACACACACACACACACACACACACACACACACACACACACACACGCACATATATTTATTACAAGATATTAATTTTGCAATATAAAAATTTTTTTTATAATGTCTCTTATTTTATATAGCATTTTATTTTATGCAATAGTTTAATGCAATGCTATAGGTAATAAACAAATCAATAAGTTAAACTAGATCTGCTACATCACGTTATGTTAAGAGCAGTTAAACAAGATTAAAGTAAAATTCACGCAATAAGTAATACTGAAAATAGTAAAAATTATATAAATGTGACTTTGAAAATGCAATAAACTTTAGTGAGGATTGATGTTAGACATTAGCCTTGGAGAATAAAACTGATATAGAAAATTTATATCAGATATATTGAAATCTTTCAAAACATTTTACAACTCCTACTTCTAAAATTTAAAGCTTATAGAATAAATGACTAACTCTACAATTGGATTTTAATGTTACCTAAGAGATAGGCATTAGAGTATCATTGTAAGTGGTACATACACAGAATGGATAATAGTAAATAGTGAGGTCCCTCATTATTTACTTTTATGATATATAATAAAGATTTTTCTGATTTGGTTTTAGGTGTATCTGTATTTACAGATGATACTAAGTTATACAGTTTGCTTTTTGATAGCTCACCATGCAATAACCTGCAATAAAGTATGGACATTATAGCAAACTGGGCAAATCTATGAAAACTAAGTTTTAATGTAAAAAAATGTAAATTTATACCCTTAGGACCAACAAATACAAAATTTTCCCTTATGACAAACAATGCCCTTAGGACCAACAAATACAAAATTCATTTATATTCTCGTTGATAAAAATCTCAATACTTTAATTAATATTAAAAACTCTAAAAAAAATATAAAAAAAATTAAAAAAAAATAAAGGGATCTTCATTGACAGTAATTTGACTTTTATTTTATAAGTACTAAGAATAACACCGCCAATAAAGTTGTAGGAATTATCAAAAGATCATTTGTCAATCTCAATATCTTGACATATCGTACTTTGTTTATTTTCCTTGTTCGTCCTCACCTTGATTCTTGCAGCTCTGTCTACTATCCTAGACTTTAAAAAGATCAAAAATTAATTTAAAATGTTCTATGCTAGTCTAGTAAATTTGTTTTAGGCCGCCAGACTGGACTCACTTACAACCAAAGACTACTGAGACTAAATTTAACTAGCATGAGCTATCGTTTCTTATGCAATGACATGGCAGAAACTTACAAATGCGTTCACAATCTTTATAATTGTAGTTGCAACCCTTTTGTTTCCTCATAAAATACCATTCAGTATTTTATCTATCAACACCTGTGTCAGAAGAATGTCATCTGCGCAGCCATTATATTTATTATTGGAATTACAGACCATTAAGTAGTTAATCTGAGTTGTAATAGCATGCGTGTTAATATGGCCACTTCTTAATAATATTATATGATTATATATTTAGTTAGTATTTATTCAACTCCAACTTAACAACATGCGATCATGCTTATAAATTGAAAAAAATGTTTTGTAAGACAGATGTCCTGAAAAAACTTTTTAAATATGGAATTCACAAATTTGTAGAATATTCTACCATCTGAAATAGTGTTCAACATCTGTCTCAACATTAAAAAAAAACATCTAGGTATATCTTGGGTTCATTAAATGTACAATTGCAAAATGGTAAATATTTACTTAGAGCCTCAAGTTGTTTATCTTCCTTAATGTCATATTTAAATAAGAAAATATTATCATAGAAACCTTTCCAAACTTTAAAATTCACCTTTTTTTTCTAACCAATAATTAAACTCTACTTGCAATAAAAAGCGATTACATTAAACATTAGGAAATGAATCTCAATAATTTTTAGACTAATATTTTTAGTTAAACAAAAAAAAAAAATCTCAAAAAAGAAAGTTAATCTGAAGTTTTTTTATATCATAAATTTATTTGTGATTAATTTTTAGCTGATGTACCGTTAAACTGAAGGTGGTAATAAAGTTTACAAAATTTGCTCTTGCTGAATTTTTCAATGAAAAAACAATATGTGTGCCATAAATGTAATCTGTGTTTAATGGGGTATCTATGAAAGTTTGGTGTATTGGCCAAATCACTTGCAAGCATCTTGCTATTAAACTGCCATATGTAAAGTCACGCTTTTAAAAGTAACTGAAAGCAGCTGAAAATAAGAATTTTTTGGTAATTGTCTTATTTACAATATTGTTTTTGTTTTATTTACAGTATTGTCTTTGTTTTTTATCTAAACAGCTATGTTTGACTCAAATATAGTAAATGTTGATTGTTTATTATGGTTTCATCTCTTCTTTATACTTTTTTTTTGACAGTTATGAGACTGCTTTAGAACAGAATTATCTGTGCCTCCAGCTTAAAAGGATGCAGGTTACAAAAAAAGTGACACTAATGAGATTGCCTCTCAGTTTCTCAAAGATTGAAGAAATCTTTAGTGTTTTAGGGTTAAGTGATTCCATCAGAGCTTTGCTTGACTATCTCTTTCGATTTATTGAATTTATTTGCCGATTATAGATGAAAAAAGATCTTCTAAACCTAGAAGAAAAATTATGGAACAAAGACACCTTATGAATCAATAGTATATATCAGTGAATTGATATTAGTTAATAATTTTTGGAAACAGTACCATGAACTATTAAAGTTTCATAATTTTTAAAATATATGATACATTTATATGAAACATACAAACAAATGATCCAATATGATACTTGATTGACTATAATTATGTTGTATATCAGAATGTTTTATATAAATGCTTATTACATTTTATTGTGATTTTTATCTTTTATGCCCAGTTAGCGTTGTATTTTGTGTAGCAATGACTACTAATCTCAGATATCTATGACATCTGTAGGATGTATTCACCGCTACAGATGTCATAATCTATTTATAAGCAATTGCTTTTACTCTTCCATAATGTCATATTTTAATAAGAATCACATTATGGAAAACCGTCTAATACATACACATGAGGAACCATTATACTTTTAGTACAATCAATTATATTACATTTGTTTTCTTATTTTAGATGAACTTTCTTACTTAGGTTGGAGGAGATAAGAAACAACTTACAGCGGCAATCTTAATACAGCTAATGGCCAAAGAAATATGTTTTTCATACTCAGTGTATGGAATGAAACAAAAACGTCCTGCAAGGTCGTTATAGGTAAAGCACAATATTTGTATTCTACATCCCATTTCCTTTTAATAAATAAATATTTTAATAAAAGTTAATTACTTTACAATATTTATACGTGAAAAGTTATATATTTCAAAATTCTATTGTGATGATATTTAAAAAACATTTTGTAGAGTTGCGTTTAGTCGTTTATCGTTGTATTCGTTCATTTCGAAATCGTTACTGACAAAAGTATTAAAGAAAAAATTGGCAGCTTTCTGGCGACGGCCATTAATAGAGATTACGGAAGAAAAATAGAACTGTTACTGAGCAACGCCCAATATTGAGCAATGAAATAAGTATCGCCAATATAATGAAAGTCGATGCCCACTATCTCATAGTGAGAGTATAATACAGTACTATATATATATATATATATATATATATATATATATATATATATATATATATATATATATATATATATATATATATATATATATATATATATATATATATATATATATATATATATATATATATATATATATATATATATATATATATATATATATATATATATATATATATATATATATATATATATATATATATATATATATATATATATATATATATATATATATATATATATATATATATATATAATATATATATATATATATATATATATATATATATATGTATATATATATATATATATGTATATATATATCTATATGTATATATATATATATGTATATATATATATATGTATATATATATATGTATATATATATATGTATATATATATATATGTATATATATATATATATGTATATATATATATATGTATATATATATATATATATGTATATATATATATATATATGTATATATATATATATATATGTATATATATATATATATGTATATATATATATATATATGTATATATATATATACATATTTTTTGTACGCGTATTTAAATAACATTGATTTTATTTTGTTATATTTTGGTTTTGGAAAACTCTATACTCCTTTTTTTTATTTGTATCTGTTTCATATAATTTCAAATAAATTTAATGATTTCGAATTTTATTTTCTTAAAGCGTGTTCTATGATTATTGTCATCTCCTAGACTATAACCTGTTTAATTCAAAAGAATAATGCAGCCTAGTACTATAGTATCACTTAAACAAGAAAACTGTTATTAATTTTAATTATTACAAATTTGTAGAAGGCAATAATTTTTATTATTTTTTAATAATAAAAATTTAATCGAAAATACTCAATATATTACCTTAATTTAGTTATATATATTATATATATCAGGATAATATTGTAAACAATATTAGGCCAATATTGGCCAGTATAATATCCCCATTATTGGCGCGATATTATTTACAATATTGGCGCAATATAAACTATATCGGGCCAATGTTGCAGTGTGAACATTTTGCCAATATTGGCCAATATTGACTTTACAGTATTGGGGCAATATTGTATCGCCAATATTGGCTGATATTGGACTTTATAATATTGGCGCAATATTGTAGCGCCAATATTGGCAAAATGTTCACACTGAAACATTGGCCCGATATAGTTTACAATATTGCGCCAATATTGTAAACAATATTGCCCCAATATTGCGCCAATATTGTTTGCTACTAGGGTTATTTAGCGCAGTAGATATTTTTACTAGAGATCCTTTATGTATACCAGTATTGCTTGATGTTGTATCAAAGCAAAGTAATCCAATCTTTGATTCAAGATTGTACTCTTTTAGTAGTTTCATCACTCCATTGTACTGATTTTCCCCAGATGAAGAGGCTAATGGCGTAACACCGAGAGGATGTGACTCCTTATCGATGGTTGCCAGAACAGCTAGTCTGTCATTCTTAAGTTTTGTTTTGTTTTTTTGTTTTTTCCATCAAAATGAACGATACATGGGTAGGGCTTCGATGCTAAGTATGACATTTTCTTTAGCAATATCTGCCATTTCTTGAGCTGTTTGTTTCATCTTTCTAGATGCTGTCGAACTGCTGCAACTTACATTTGTAAGATCAACGCTACAACTATCAAGGATTGCAGCCGTAACTTTTGTCAAGACATTGGGAGAAATATCAGTAACTGTAGCTATTAGGGCAACATTACCAGAAAGAATATCATTTGGGATCTCAGTTTTATTATGCTATTAGACTCTGAAGAACGCCAATATCCTGGGTCATAATCTGAATCAAATGATGAATCTTTGCTCGGGTCTCGTGTTGGACTAAATTCCAACTCTGAATTCCTTACTTCCAGTAATTTTGCAGCATCTTTTTTAGATGAATTTCTTTTCTAAAATCTAAGCAACATGCACCATTATGAATATTATTGTTGTTATTATTATTATTGTTATTATTATTATTTGATATTATTCTTTTTAAATATCTTTATCAAAACTTTGTAAAATTAAAAAAGATAATAATGTAAAAAGTATTAAAGCAAAAATAAAGCTCAATAATGAAAAAGTAGCAAAAGGTAGTTTTTAAATTCAGGAAAAAAAAGGTTATTAAATGAATTACCTTCTTCCTGTATTTCTTATCTTCTGGCTCGAAAAATTACTTTTTGTCATGTTCTTGATCGTATATAACTTCTAGGTCCTCTTTCTTATCTAGGTCGGATCTATTTTTGTCCTTTTTTATCCAGCTTTGTAAGTCAGGTATTCCTGCCCAAAAGATTTTTCCCAGTTCTTTTCTGAAATCTTGTTTCTTTTTCAATTCTAAAGACGACATCCGGTACATGTTTTTTTTTTTAAATTAACACATTTTTTGTTCAACATGTTCAGCTTTTAAATCAAACTGTTATCTGATTGAAGACGAAATCCAGCTTTAAGCCACGAACCCTTTATTTGGCTAAGAATACACTTACAATGTCGTTCAACACATCTTTCATATTTCCTGTTTTTTTTTTACTGAACAAGCAATTATTAAAGATTTTTTTTTGCGTATTTTTTTGCAAAATCTTTTTTTAATTTAAACAATAATTATGAAAAAACAGGAGACACAACAAACTAAAAAAAAGTTTGGACCATTATGAGCAAAATATAAAAAAAAAATTACAAAATATTAAGATTTACCTAGCGCTCAAAGCCAAATTACTTGGGAACTATTTGGGGCATTTTTCGGGGTATTTTGCCGCTTGAGTACAAGGTACAAGGTCAATATTTTTAATTTTTTAATTGTATTTTTTTTATATTTGCCCCAAATTTGGCTTATTGTGTATTCGCGTTTTGAAATTTTTTTTTTTTGAACACCCCTAATGTTTAAGTGTAATATGACGCATGTGTAATATAGAAAAGGATTCATATCTTTTTCACTTTTAAATTCATATGGATCAAAATATGATGTTTTTTTATTAAACTTATTTTAGTTCTTTGAAAAAAAATTAAGTTCTCTTCAGAAGAATTATTAAAAAGATTGTCCTCAAAAGGTCAATCTCAAATTTAAATTTTCAAAATCAACTTTCTCAAAAATAATAATCGCCATTTTTGATAAATAAAAGAATTTTGTTATATATAACTTTAGCAAAATAACCATTTTCCCAGTGGGAAAAAAGATATTTTTAGACGAATAAAAGATGTCTTTTTTGTGACTTGGAAAAGACGCCTTTTAAAAAGGCTTCTTAAAAAAGTAGTCGAAAAGACGTCATACGGTTATACGTCTTTAATAAGACGTAAAAAAGACGTCTTTTATATCGATGACCTTAAAAAAAAAAAGAATAGGAAAATTTTCATTTATATGTTAAATTAAATAACACCCGTAGAAATTTTTTTTTTGGGAGGGGGAGGGGAAAATTCAAAAGACGTTTCCCCCCGGGAAACAAATTAAGTTGTTTCCCGGCGGGAAACAACTTTATTTGTTTATAATCATAATTAATAAACAAATTAAGTTGTTTATTATAATCATAATTTGCTTATTATAATTATAATAAACAAATTAATATTTGCTTATAAACAACTTTCGTTGTTAATAAGGAAATCATTATTTGCTTAAGAAAATTAAAAATAGTTATTGCAACAAAGATGGGTTTTAACCGACAGTATTGTAATTACGATATCTTTGTTACGTTCTGATTGGCCTGTTTTTTGTTTACAAAGTACTTTTATTATAAGAAACGTTTTTGCATAGGAAATTTAATTAAAAATCAATATTATCGGTAAGCGGGTTTATTTTAAAATTTATGTAATAAAGTAATATATTATGTAAAATATAAATAATATATATGCTTATATATATTAATAATATTTATAATTATAATAATTATATATTATAATAAAATATTATAATAATTATAATATATATATATATATATATATATATATATATATATATATATATATATATATATATATATATATATATATATATATATATATATATATATATATATATATATATATATATATATATATATATATATATATATATATATATATATATATATATATATATATATATATATATATATATATATATATATATATATATATATAGGTTTAAATTTTTTATACCTTCATTAAAAATTTAAACTTTTATTTTTTAAACCAAATTAATTCTATTATATAGAGATTATTAAATGACAAATTTTTATACCAAATTTATTATCTGAGATCAACTATAAAAAAAGATATTCAATTTTGAAGGTAGAGAAAATAAAATGGACATCTTAACGAAGATACACAAGAAAATGACTTCAAAAAGTGGACTTTATAACATAGTTCATAAAATATTAACAATTTACTGTCACATATTTGATAAAAACTGTTTATTATATCCCACTTATATTAATTAAATTGAAAAAAAAAAAAAAAAAGAGAGAGAGAGGGGGTGTTTAAGCCCATTTTAAAAGTGGGTGAAATTCGATTCAAGTCATTTTATTAAAAAAATTACAATAATTAATCTAAATTTAATTTTGTTCATGCTAATGAGAATGTGAAAAAAAAAATTGTATAAAAAATTGAAGTGATTTGAGCCAGGGAATAAAAATACCCCAAAAAGTTTGTACCCCACATAAAAATGTGAGGAGACTAAGTTATTAAAATACTTTAACTTATTATTTTATACTACATTTAAATCCATCAACAGACCCAATAATTCTTGATATGTTTAAAGTTATTTTTTTAAGTTATTTCACATGGTCATAACCTTTGAGCATTAAAAAATAATAAACTTAAAAACTTATTAACTCGTTAAATTAACATATGAGACAGGGG